ATTTCAGACGTCGTCGTCCTTGAGCAACTTCACTGCTTAAGTTTCATTTTCCCGCTAAAAACGACGTCCTCGTTCCAGACCCTCCGCGATTACTTGACGTCGTCGTCGTCCCTTTCGTCGTGGTTGCTTAAGCTCCCTAATATCCTCGCTAAAACTTTGGATGGCCGCTGTGAAACCTGTGGGGCAGCTCTACGGCTCTCCGACTGCATAAAAGAAACAGTGTCTGGATTAAGCTCCCTAATATCCAGCCATCTTAACCGAACAAGCTTGGTCAATAAAGGATTTATTATTTAGCAAAAAAAAGATTTTACTTTAATGAAAATTAAGAATGACTCGTTTATTTCGACAACAGGGTGTATTTTCTGTCTGCTTCCTTGTTTTTGTTTGCTTTCGCTTCTAAGTTACTGCTGTGTAATATTGGCGTTTTGTTGAACTGTAAAAGCTGTAAATTCTTAAAAGATTTATCATATCCTACACCTTTCCCTTATGTAATTCCACTTTTCCTGAAAGACAAAAAAAAAAAAAACTGTCAAAACAAGTGGAAATAAGGCGGACCCGACTTCAACTGAACATCGCTGTTGGGATTGCTTTAACCTATTAACCCTTAGGGGTGACCAACAGCTAATTTCTCCTTACAACACCACCCCTGAATCACACATTACGGTAAAGAGAAGGAAACTATCACCAGCTAAAGAAGGTTTTGATTGTTAAACAAATTCTCCTTGTCAACACCTTAGTAAATGTCTAGAGAACAGTCTGGAGAATATGCATACTGATGTCAGGGGGTTAACCTCTAGCTCCAAGGAAAGATCAGAGCGTAAAAATCCCCTTATATTTTCACCAAGCTTTCAAACAATCAAGCAACGGAAAAGAAGAAAACTATCAACTAGTAGATGCGTATGATCTCACGGGTACGCCAACAAATTCTCAGGAACGTCCAACAGAGAAATGTATGGTACTAACAGAGAATAAAATTTCAGGAGATAAAGTTAAACAGTTTTAACCTTGGCATCAATTCTGAGAAGCTCTGCTTTTCTCCAGAAATGTCTTGTCTTTAATTCCGCAACTTCTGAATCGCTCAGTTTGCAAATGATCTCCTTCACGGTCCTTTAACAATCGAGTAAAAAACAAAATAACATCCATTATTTTATTTTATTTTTTTGATATATAAAGCTACGATTAAGTTTCGCAAGTATATCTGCCTCGAGTTTTTATATATCCTTCTTATTATTTTATGGTTGTTGTGATTGTTGTCATTTTAAAGGATTACTTCGCATCGAACTAAAATGAATCCTTTCCTAGCGCTGTCTACTGGTAACTTCCAACCTTAAAAAGCACATTTGAAAACATTTCTAAACAGCTTTTCCGCGTATCACAACCCATTCATTTTCATTAATTTTTTGTTCTGCCCGTGGTGGACTTCGTCTCCTTCGCAGCCGTCTTTCGGGATGTCACGCAACGCTCTCCCTTCGGGGGAGCGTTGCGTGACATCCCGAAAGACGGCTGCGAAGGGGACTATGGTGGACGTGGCTGTATTGCAGTTCGTTGGTCCCTCAGCGTTTGTGCACAATTTAGCAACTAATTATTTTTGTTTTGTTTTGAGTTTATACTTACAACACTTCCCGTATAAGCACCGCCCTTCCACTGCTTAACCCACTATTTCAGCGGTGATTTGGGAACCCTTTCGCTTAAAATCCTATGCTTCTATTCCTACAGGGCAACAAGGTTACTAGTTGATGAATACACTGCTTTGTATCAACGTTATTATTTTTTCAAATCAATCAATCCTCTCCTAGCCCTATTCAGGGATGACTTCAAACCTTAAAAAGGCATGTTTGCAATTTTTTCATAAATTTTTCCTCGCACCTTAACCCCTATGCTAAGCGTACTGCTACTTACGAGCTTGGAAAGAGCTGGGCACTTCTCGACGAAACTCCGAAGAAGTCATCCACAGCCTGTGGAGTAGTCCAGACAAATAACAACGCATCTGTTAAAAGTTCTTCCAAAACAATACAACACAGTGTGAAAATGAAGGAAAGTTGGAACATGATTCTCTCTTCACCAACGTAACCTGTACGCCTCAGTATCTGGACAAATTTAATTCAGTACGAAACTAGCGACTATACTAACGCATACTCGTAAGAACTCTTTTTCAAACTTCGGCGTAATTTAATGATGTATGATTTTAAATGTCTCGCCATTTGCAAATGTGCACCATCGTTTGGCATTACTAGCTTTTATCTCCTAAGCAGATTACGTTTGAAGGTGCAGTGTCAATCTCACTTTGCGTAACCTTGTTTCAACATGTATCCTTTGATAAACATAATTTAAAGACAATAAAACAAGACCGCAGTGAAAAGAATCAGTAAATGTCTGTTACCGGCTGAGAATTTGGTCTCTATTGCCTTCGAGATTTAGAGCACGACGATCATTGGAACATGAATTTTCGGTGCAAAATTTAGAAATTGCATTCCTACCTTAGTGTTTTCTCTACGGGCAATCCGCAACATACCACGCAAATACAAGTGGCTAGCAAGAAGACTTGAAGACATATTCGTAGGATCCTGTGTAAAGGAAGGAAAAGAACTTCAGTAAGAAGCTAAAGTGAAGAGAAGAAATATAGTTCTTCGACCAAATACGTTTCTTTAAGTTTAGCATAGATAATTGTAAAACCGATAGAAGTGTGCTTCGCGTAAGACCTTTTCCGACCAAAGGGTAAAATGGAGAAGCCTTCGGTGCATGCTTCGAGTGGTGAGAGAAAAGGAGCACTTACAGTGATCTTGGTGTTCAACGACTTCAAGTAATCTTCATAGAAACGTCCTGTGGGAACAGAAATTATTTAACAACAAACATATGAAATACATATTTTTGAACTGCGGTTATGAAACGTATATGTGCACGATCCTTCGCAGTAAAGCACTATTTAAGCAATAGTGAAAATCAGACCTCAAAAAAAAAAGAAAAAAAAAAATTCAGGTCTGTACGGGATTCGAACCACTGACCTCTGCGATACTAGTGCAGCGCTCTACCAATTGAGCTAACAAGCCAACTGGGAGCAGGCCATCAAATTAATTCGACATAAACCCGTAGATGATAAATCAAACAACAAACATATGAAATACATATATATGAACTGCGGTTATGAAACGTATATGTGCACGATCCTTCGCAGTAAAGCACTATTTAAGCAATAGTGAAAATCAGACCTGAAAAAAATTCAGGCCTGTACGGGATTCGAACCACTGACCTCTGCGATACTAGTGCAGCGCTCTACCAATTGAGCTAACAAGCCAACTGGGAGCAGGCCATCAAATTAATTCGACATAAACCCGTAGATGATAAATCAAACAACAAACATATGAAATACATATATATGAACTGCGGTTATGAAACGTATATGTGCACGATCCTTCGCAGTAAAGCACTATTTAAGCAATAGTGAAAATCAGACCTGAAAAAAATTCAGGCCTGTACGGGATTCGAACCACTGACCTCTGCGATACTAGTGCAGCGCTCTACCAATTGAGCTAACAAGCCAACTGGGAGCAGGCCATCAAATTAATTCGACATAAACCCGTAGATGATAAATAAAACAACAACAAACATATGAAACATATGTGTGAACTGCGGTTATGAGACGTATATGAGCACGATCCTTCGCAGTAAAGCACTATTTGAGCAATAGTGAAAATCAGACCTGAAAAAAATTTCAGGCCTGTACGGGATTCGAACCACTGACCTCTGCGATACTAGTGCAGCGCTCTACCAATTGAGCTAACAAGCCAACTGGGAGCAGGCCATCAAATTAATTCGACATAAACCCGTAGATGATAAATCAAACAACAAACATATGAAATACATATATATGAACTGCGGTTATGAAACGTATATGTGCACGATCCTTCGCAGTAAAGCACTATTTAAGCAATAGTGAAAATCAGACCTGAAAAAAATTCAGGCCTGTACGGGATTCGAACCACTGACCTCTGCGATACTAGTGCAGCGCTCTACCAATTGAGCTAACAAGCCAACTGGGAGCAGNGCATTGACAAAACATTGATCGGGAATGACAGGAACAGCAGACAATGCAGATGAACTTCTCTTTCTCAGTGGACCTACCCTACGAAATGGAAAATGTTTTCATCCCACAAGAAGAGTAACTTTTAACCCTCTCAAGATCTCATTAGTAATTCTGCTTACTGCTTGCCATACATTAGCCCATTTCCGAATTACCCTTGGCCTCGTTTTCAAAACGAGGCCTGGTGCTTAACCATTCTTGTGAAAATGAGTTTAATTTGCATGTGAATGAAAACTTATTATTGTATGAAAGGATGAGCACCAGGACTCGTTTTAAAAATGAGGCCAAGGGTAATTCGGAAATAGGCTATTCTTAGGATACTAGGTCTCAGAATTTGATATTGGTTAACTTATTATCTCCTTATGGATATTTTTCTTTGTTCGCATCACTTGTCTTGATAATAGGGACCTTAAGCAACCACGACGGCGACGGCAACGAGGACGTGGAAAAACAAGAGATCTAATTGGCAGAACAATAGCCCAGCACGTGCATTTTGAAACTTTGTACATTTAGCCGTCCTATGCAAAATAACAACGTGAAATCGCCAAAATTTGCGTCGTCTGCGAACCGAAACCGCGACAGCAAATTATTTTAATTTCCATTTGGAACTCAACGCTGCTTTAATACGTCATGCTGAAGTTGAGCTGTGGCGTCGAAGGAGACAGTAAGCCCATGCAGCCACAAATCAATAGGGAAGTTATAGAAGCAATGCGTTAGGAAGTTCGCCATATAAACTAACTAAGAGTAAGAAATAACTAACTAAGAGTAGAAATTCATTTTTTAATCGAAGTCTTCCTTGGCGTTGCCTTCGTGACTGCTTAAGGATAAGGTCCCTATTGTAAGGATAAATTATGTCTTGGTCACTCATGGGAGTAAAGAGTTAAAGATTTCTATGAATTAGATAGTCACAAGCATGAGCTGAACATTTAAGTAAATATAATCGTCCATCCAAGATCCTTGCCTAACCCGATTCCATCTAACCCCTGTTTTCAGCTGGTCAGAGCTTGATATTATTGATAAACATCGCATGATCACTTACTTTGGAACAACCCTGGTTTTCTGAGCCATAAGTGTGAAGTAGTCTGTCTTTTCTGGGTTGTGAATCAGGTCGTAAAGAAACATGCTAAATCCATGACTCTTGCACACCTTGAAAAATTACCGCAAACAATTGAGTATTACGTACAGTTCTTAAAAATCTCGATTGTAAAACAAAAATTATTTATATGGCGAACTTCTTAACGCATTGCTTCTATAACTTCCCTATTGATTTTCAGAAATAAAGCCACAGGTGCTCAAAGCCCCTGGCCGAAAAACACTCTACTTTATTGGTTAGTCCCCACACTCATATAAATCCACTTTCCAAACATTTCCTGATTAATCATTAACCCTTTAGGGATCAGAGGTATGCTTGGTTGCCAAAAGGCAGGACATCCCATTTTTCAACCAAGGTATAACAATTACCGCAACTTGATTATGTATCGATTATTAGGGTGTTGACGCAATGAAAATGTAAAAACTTTTCGTTTCCCCCGATTCCTAATCTGAATAATGTAGAACTCCATAATGTAGGACTCTTCTCAACTAAGTTTTTGTCATTCAAGACGTCGTTTAATGATTTATTTGGTCCACAAGCAGTGGGTGACACTTAATTTCAGGTGTAATAAATATCATGCGGATGCGCTAAAAATACCCTTAACAAACATTTATTAAATATTTCATAACCAGTACCCACCTCACGAAAAAAACCTTGGTTATCTAAAGGCTTTGACTCAATGTAAGTATCCATATCAAAGAAAAGCTTTTGGGAGAGGAATAAAAATGTCAAAAAAGAAAACTATTTCGAGTATTCATTTAAGCTAATTCTACATAAAGATTTTAATTGCACATTCT